GTATTTTTTGTGAGGCACACATCGTACATTGTACGTCAATTATTGCTATTTACAGAGTATAGTTACTTTACAACAGTAACATTAACGATWATCATAGACTTGTCGATCTTTATGAACGACAAATTACACAGAAGCATGTCGCTCCTTTTGCTTACAATTACGATCATGTAAACTATAACAATTTGGACGTGGTCTTCAAATAACCAGCAAATCTGACAGTAAACCACAATATAAGTTGGTATTGTACAGGATATACATGCCATAATTGTAAGCAAAAGTAAATTATTTCTATGACTTTAGATCGTTAAACCTTTGAGTTCTAGCATGGCTGGTAGAGGTAGACAATCTCCCTCTAATAACCTATGGTTCTAGCATAGTTGTGAATGGTGCTTTATAGTAGGTTAAAGTTGACCATTTAACAAATGTCGGCGGTCAACAAGTTTGACGAATCAAGTCAACTATTTAAGAGTAAGTATTTAAACCTATTTACAGATTCTCAACATCCTCATCATTTACAACATTTACTCTCTAGATATTCACATAGAAGGTGCTGTATTCTGTATCGGGGGCAGGTGAACTAATGCATAAGGACCACTAACACTACTCGAAGCAGATCGTCCACGTAGCAATGGTATTTCACTGGGATGTACTGGTTCTATGTTCAAGTTCTTAAAAGTTCTTCCACGGTTTCTTGAACTGTGTCTTTTAGTAGGACTTGAAGACCTTGAATTGAGTCCTTCATTATTCGATATCTGTCTGTCACTGATACTTGAAAAAGGTCTATGCTCAGTATCATCTAGTCTTTTATCTGGAGAGCACAACAAATATTTTCTACTGCTCATTTTCCTGGACAAAAAGTCTTGTTCTGGCCATGAAGAGTTTAGTGATGTAGTTTCTGCAGGTGGTGGAGACATTGGTCGAGTAAATTTGTCCATAATACTCGTATTGGTAGTCAAAGAACGACATATTTTCTCTGCATTATCACTAGACGTTAATTTACCACCAGTACTTTGAACCCTGGACAAACTTAACTTATGAATACTTCTACTCACATCACGACTTGATGTTTGGATTCGTCTTGAACGAGGTCGGCCTGATGGTGGTCTTGGTGCTAAAGGCTGACCATCGTCTAGACGAATTCCAGAAACCACATCGTTATTCGCGTCCTCATCATTAATTGTCGAGTCGATCAAATCGATGGTACTATCATCGACCAGTTTTAAGTCAACTTGTGATGTTTGTAAAGATTCTTGATCTCGCACAAACCGAAGAACCAAATCACGTTTCGCTTGACCGACATTCGCCTTGCTATCGAGCTCAGCCAAAGCAGGATTTCTTGCCATAATTACTTCACTTTAACTAGTTTAAGAATGTTATAGTGTTGCTTTCCTTCAATATTTCCCAAGGATTTCCTTCTTGTAATGAGGTTTTGAATCGAAAGTAATGGCCGCCCGCACACTTCATTAGCTTCGTTGTTCGAGTCAAAATCACTTGAACAACTAGAAAACCTTACACTTTGTTGACACTGTTTTGACACTAGCTAAAACAGTGAAAATTGCATTCTTCACGTGAAGCTATTCGCTTTGAAACACACGGACAAGACGAGCAGAGACAGATGGACGAATATGCGACGAGTTTAACTGCTAGGCAACGGGTGTTGTGATTATGGTCGCTCAATAAAGATAATCGATCCCGATTGGTTGAAAACGGGTAAATATAGTGCGATATGCATTTCAATCACAAAAACATCAACAGACTGCAAATAGAAGCTGATGGCTTGTATTGATAAGAAGCCATAACTGGAAAGTATCGATCGGTGGACAAGATCAGCTGCTAAAACATCAATCCAAACCAGTTTTATGAGAAAGCATGACTAAGTAAAGTTTAAGTAAAATACATGCAAAAACATTTTACAAAAAAAATTGTTTGAGTGCTATTTTTTTAAGCAGATATACGGTTTATACGATACTGTTTATCAGTCTATCTTTTATTATACATTTCTGACAGATCTCTAAACATTCGCAATACAATTACTCAAATTGTTTTTCGCCGAAAAGAGTTTTTTTATCAATGTTTGAATGGCAAACTTAATTCCTTTTTTTGAATAACAATGCGATGATTTCCCTTGGGGATCCATACATGGCCCAAACAACCAGTCAAACTAATCCTTTATGTCGGCGGTGTTTCCCGTTCAGCTTATCTATTGAGATATTTTTTATAAAATAGTCGATCTAGAGATAAAAAATCTTGGCTATTAGTATTCTAGATTCATATTCAAATATTATACTCTCTCTGTATTTTAGTTGTAGAAAAATAAAATAATGAATAAATAAAATACTATGGTAAAAGAGACTATAATAATGGGAGAAAAAAATATGAAATGAAAAAGTGCGGAAAATTACATGAATAGTCAAACAAAAGAATAAAAGAAATGAAATAGAGAAAATGAGAGAAAAAGAAGGGGAGGAATAAAAACCAATAAAAGCAAACAAAATGAAAATGAAGATAATACGAGATAAATAGATAAATAAAAACAGAAGCTTCAGACAAACTAAAACACTCGAGGAAGTCCGAAAAGATAAAATCGCAAAATAAATATATACCATATGCATGTCATTACAGAGGCAAATAGAAGACTGACACCTTCGTCAAGTGCAGCGAAATGATCGAAAAATAGCCTCATTTGCGGCATCATTAAGTCTGATCATCCGTGTTGGACTATTAGTTATTCTTGTTGCAAAAAAGCCACAAAAATGAACGATTCGCAAAGCACCCTGGTTGGCTGTTCTCCACACTTTGAAGGCGACAATACAACACTTTTAAAAAACAAGGCGTCCGCCTCGGTAAACGGACAATATTTGCTATACATTTTGCCTTGAGGTTACAATATGTGTATAAAAGAAATAAGATAAGAAGTCGCATTGTCTCATTGTCTCTGTGTAAATGCTCTTCATAATCATTTTTCCTCAGACGAAAACCGTTTTTCCCAGGTACTTGGTATATTAATAGCACTTACATGACTTATTTATGACTTTTCTGACCGGTCAATTTGTACTAATCAATATTTTTTAAGGACTTTTAATGAGTTTTCTAACCCAACAACTAATCCATAGCAACCATGCTGGTTTGTCAACGTTCTCTTTTGACGTCCTTCAGTAAAAGCAAATGTGTGCTAAGAAGGTCAAAATAGGAAGTGCATTATCATACAATCGCTCATGTCAYAGAGACGTCTCAAAGTAAATAGTGAAGTCACTTCAGAGACACGCTCCTCAAACTACTAGCACGGKAAACTGAAAGAAATTGTAAAAGCACGATGAACGGGATGTACTCAATAGCAGAAGAAGATAGTTTTTTRCCGGCTCTTATTAGCAGCAACCCTGCAAAACAACTGGCTCAAATACGAGGATATCATGAACAGCAAAGACTACGCCAAATCTACCTTGCACGAGACATGGAGGAGATACGAATGGCGTATGCTGTGAGGATATGYGAAGAAAGAGAAAAGATGAGAAAATCACTTTGGGAATTGGATAACAGAAAAAGAAGACTAATGCTACAAGTCACCAACAACAAAGCAAGTAATTTCATGTCGAGAAATAAAGGAAACAAGTCAAAGGACACTTCTCGACATCGAAGAAAAGCCGAAGAAAGAAAAGAATCACGGAAAAAAGACAATAAAATGAACATAACAMAGACTAGAGAAGCAAGCAGACTCCCTACAGCGACAATAGAACGTGAACCGAGCAGTCGATTACCAACAAGCACTACTGAACATAATAGAAACAGAAAACTGAGTAAACAAAGTAAAAGAGCTGAAATACCACGCTATCTCCTGTGCTAGAATGAAATGATTTATTGAAAGAAAAATACATCCCTTTTATTCACAATAGATAATTGAGCAAAATGAAGTATAGAAAACATCGAGTATCATCAACGCACAAATGATTGTTATACACTATCTATCATGGACAAATCCACTGTGTCAACAAAACTAAATGAAGAAAGGAAGAAGTAAAGCGGATTTCTGGATTTGTGCTTCTTATCAAGTAAAGAAAACATGTAATTAAAGGATAACCAGCAAGCCTTTGTCATGGTTCTTGGCAATAACGACATCTTTAAGACAATTTATAGTGGTTACTATGATATCTCAGCCGTTAGCTACCGTCAACAGTAAATTTATTCAACTGAACATGTCGTAAGTTATTAGTAAAAAGGTTGTCTGATGGCTCTCGTTGCTGCGAACTTATGTACGGAAGCCATTTAAATTGCGATCAAACATTCGAAACACTAAAGAAGGATTAGAATATAATACAAGAGACTTTGGAATAAATAACAATCACGCAATACAGTAATACATAGATTTTTCGCGTTATTTGACAACAGCATTTCTATCGATAAACTTTACGTGTCACGTGACCTTATAGAGTTTTTTTCAAAATCACATTCAACTCCGCTTGCATTGAACCAAGAACTACGGACAACAACGTAATAACTGCTACTTCGGAAGATAAATATTTGATTTAGTAAAGGAAACGGCAAGAGTGTTTCTTTTTGAATTTAATGCGCTTTAGCTGAGTATTTTTCATTTAATTACATGAGGCGGAATTGATGTAAAGTTCCTGTGAATCGAGAACATGACTCTGGAAGAGTAAATACTGCTTTTATCGATGTAAATAGTCCGATTGTTATTTATACACATGAAGGTGTTTTTAATTTAATAGTTGTATCAATTTGAAAAAATTATAAAAACGGTAAAACTGCACCTGCATGATGTTTAAAACTAGAATACATTTCATGCTTTGACATTTTGACATAAAAACGTTTTAAATTAAGCTATGAAAAGCCTTGGTAGTTAAAGGAAGTCTTATTCCATGTTTACAGCCCACAGGCTATGCAGTTATYATATGAACCTTACCGGGGGGTTTCGATAATATTTTTCATTAAACTTTTTGTAAAAGGTCTCTGGCATCTTGCAGTGCCTTATCATCCTAAAAATAAACAGAAAACAGTTACTGGATGTAAAGCGAAACATAGCAACAGCACACATCTTTCTATTTCTATTTGGCAGACAAGAACACTTTGTGTGGATGTTTTTAAGCATTCCATTAAAATTAATTAATACAAACTTTCTCAATACTTATACTACTTCATCAACATCATTATTCCATTGGACATTCCTTGTATTTTGAATTTTCATCATAGAATTAATCCACATAATCGATGAAACGTTATTAAATCATATGCTAATTAATTTTATTGTCTTGACAACACTACTCAGTTAGATAAGTGGTCATATTTCGCTTAAAATATTATTATTATGTACAAGGATGAAAATATATAGATAGTGTATCTATATATTTTCATCCTTGTACATAATAATAAAAAAACTACTCAGTTAATAATATATTTTTTATTATTATCATTGTCATCATCATAAATAATCAATAAATTATTATCACTGCTCTCATCATCATCATCATCATCATCATCATCATCATCATCATCATTGCTGCTGATTAATATTGTATTAATTATTATTAGACTGGAGACTTACATCTGGTGACTTGGGATCCATGGTTACTACTTTTTGCAGCCACTGTCTGCATTCATTGTACTGGCTTTTCTCATAGTAACACTGCAAATAATAATAACATTTGCATATAGTAGAGAAGACAGTAGAGAAACATTTCCACAAGTATAAATAACTAATTAATAAGTGGAACTATAAGAACCATTTTTTATTATTGTCAACTCTTGTAAAAAAAACCCTTTTGGGATTGTAATTGAKKGTCTACCATAGCATGAGTCAATTATTACCMAAAAAACTAAGATATATCAAATAACTGCTTTGCATTTGCAGAATGCATGGTACCTTTGCAATCCAATATGAATTGGTCAACCAAAATCCAGGTTCCAAGTTTTCTGCCTGCATCAAAYAAGAGAACCAAGTACAAAATAAACAATCAATGTCAACAAACATATTAAATTAGCAAATAGTTGGTTACCTTAAGAAAGTTTTCAAGAGCTTCTTCTACTGTAGATGTTGGAGGCTCAGCAATGAAGGTAGCTGCAGCTCGTCTTTGCCACCATGGTAGTTGACTTACCTAGTAAATAACATAACATAATTGATCGTTTTCAACCATTCCCATGAGATTYAAAAGATAAAAGACYGGCGGCCATGTTGGRGGAATGAACAATAGATACTAATGAGAAATCCTTTGTTAAAGTTCAACCAAGATGGCCGCTGTGACGTATAGTGAATACGAAGAATTGACAAAGAGACTGATAATAATTGATAGGTGGCACAATTGAAGAAATTATCGTAAGTACAAAAATTACCTCAAAGCACCATCGTCCAAGAAGATGATATGCAGTTGGATCCTTGCTATTTAGTTCTATTGATTTGGAAATGTGTTCCTGGATATGGTAAGACAGGTTATAGAAYAATGAATACTAACTCATCCTGCCAGATAACACTAAATGAAATGGTACATACCTTGTATTTAAACCCTAATAAGATTCGGTCTTGCGTGCTTTCATAGTCTGCTGTACTCCCCAGTAATAATGCATACCTTAACCACAAAAAAAACACTAATGAAAATGATGAATGGATGAATAAATGGTAGAAKGRTAAWGCCGTCATGAAAAGCTGTCCAACCTACCACTTATGTGCATTTGCAATTTTGCTTCCAACCTCAACTGAACGCTTAGCTACAGCTAAACCTGGATAAAACAATAGATAACATATAGATAACATGAAAATCATAAACTTACAGTATGGACACATTAGAGAGTTTTAGCATCACATTGACGGCGTTTGCATTGAACGTCATGCTAARCCTCTCTATTGACTGACATAATCACATTTGCTATAATGATTCCCAAGATGAGATCACTGTCACTACTAAGTACCTTTATACAGTAAATTCTTTTTCTCTTCAAGAAATCCATCTTTGCCTTGTTCTGATGCGACTTCATAATAAGATTTTCCTAGTCTCCATAATATTTCTCCACTATCTGGATGCTACAAGAAAGACACAATCAGTTTATTAAAATTTCATTATAACTACAAACCAAATAGATTAGCAAAGGACATTTATTGGGCTTGAGAGAAATTTGGTGTATCAAACATCTCTGAAAATACACTATTTAAGGCTGATTTACACGGTACGATTTGTCGCGCGCGACTTGTAGTACACGATTTTCCTACTACACGTCGTAGGATTTTGAACAACTGCTTCAAAATCGTACTACAAGTCGTAGGTTGCGTACGACTGTTGTAGACAAGTCGTATACTACAAGTCGCGCACAACAAATCGTACAGTGTAATCAGCCTCTAGATTAGATTTACTCTATCCAGATATCACCATCACCATCTTCAACGCTTTGGACATCTCTAGCCCTTGTTGTGGCTCTTCTCCATATCATTTCTACCCATCATAAATCATAGCCAGGTCAACATACCTTTTTAGCAGCATTGTCTAAGAACTGATGAACTTTATTGATGTCTCTGTCATTGTGTTCTTCGTCATTGAAGGTTTCATACTCCTGTATTATTGACTTGATGTCTTCAGCTGGTGGGCTGTAAAAGGTTTTAATGGAATATTCCTGTTAATTGTTAACAGGAATATTGTCCATCGTATTTCATAATGTTGGATGTTGCCATGTCTAAACTTCAAACATGTTGGATAGGCTCAGTGAATTCGACAATGTATGCTGCAGCTATGCCTTATTATACTGCATTTCAATTCATAGTAAAGAGATTCATCTGTACTGGTGATATTAGAATTTTGCTTCCACAAAGCATTAAGTATTGTACTAATAAGCTTTTGATTATATATTAACTTATGAATAGGATTCCAAGTCTTGATAACAATATCAGTTACRTGCATTTTGATGAAGACTCCTAGTTAATAGAATCGAAAGCTTATAAGTAAAAACCTTCACCAAAGTCTCACAGTTGTATATTTTAATGCTCAAACCAGGTTTTACCTTTGCATGACCTGTTCATTTTGCAATGAARMTGGGACTTCATCTTCTTGATTAAAATCATAAAATTCTTCATCGTCWTCAGAATTAATAGACAGCAAATCCCTTAGTGAGTTAGCACTATACTTATTTTGAGTAACTTTAGTCTCTTTAACCGGTACAATGATATTTTCTTGACTTTGTCGCGTCAAAACACAACGAAGTTCTTTCATTTCATGGGATAGCTGTTGCATTCCGATAACCAAGTCTTTGTCTGCAGTCATTGTTTTAGTTAGTTTCCTAGCAATAAATAATCCCGTTCCTATACCAATACCAATTCCAAGCCCCAGTGTTGTTCCTACTATAACATTTCTTGTCAATGAAGACAAACTAACTTCAGCCACTTCTGGTTGAATACTGGTCGCCATGTTGTTTTGAATACGACACAGGAAGCCCAAAGTTCTACGTGCTTGCTGATAACAGCTAGAGTAACATGAGAGTAAGGCCAGGTTCTTTCTACTGTGTGATCTAAAATGCCGTATGTCTTGATATCAACGAAGATCAGATTGGTATGACTGTTATATTGATTGTTTAATCATTATTATTTATAACTAGTAATAGATCGATAAACTTGAGACACGTGTTTGATGTTTTYATAGGAAGAAGGMCCAACRTACTGTGGCGATGAATGGTCTRACCSAGAGGTCATGSAAAWCTTGGGAGCAAAACTCGTACAAGAATTTGGAAATACTTAGTGAGTAAATTGTAGTTTAGTACTGCAGTAAAAGTAACAATCTAATAGTGTATATGGATTTTCACAGTAAAGTTTACTTGACCGAAGATCCCCCAAGAGTCGTCCTCAACAAACTTGAACAAATGCATTTCAAAGTGATCGCCTCCACTGGTATAGGTCAGACTATTGTTTGGACTTTACACAGATCCTTTTAATAATCAGAACATCAATCAGAACTAAAGGAGGAGCTGCTGGCTTCACTACCACCTCACCTCAATGTCTCCCTTATCATCCAGGATAAAATAGTTGAATTTATATTTTTTAATATTTGCTATCATGAAAACTTGTTCTTATAAATTGTATTAGTTATAACTAAATATTATAATCAGACTCCTTAATGAGCAATGGTGTGGAAAATATTCAATAATTCACGTGTAACAATAGTTGATCTGCAGCTATAACTAGATATAAAAAAGCTGTAGTACTTTATATATTTGTGCAGTAATGCAGACATACAACTATTCTTTTGTTGGCAGGAGAATCTGTTCACATTACACAATAAATATCTTGAAATCTATGTGTGCATATTGATTAAATACCAGGCATGAATCATGGACAGAAACTTGCCAAATCACGCCAATGACTGAGACATCTTTCCTGCATTCTCATACTTCATCCATAAAACTGATCTATTTTATAGAGCTAACAATCATTTGGTCTTAATGATGGAGTAAAGAGACAAGCTACAAACATGTTGATTGTTAGAGGAGGGTGTGTTTATATCTGTCAGAAGTACAATCATAGAGTAAAGAGACAAGCCACAAACATGTTGATTGTTAGAGGTGGGTGTGTTTATATCTGTCAGCAGTATTACCACTGTCCACTTTCAAATCATGAAGCTATCAATTCAATTTATTTCAATCATTTTCATCTTCATTTTGCATTTCTTCTATTATTCTTTTTCGTTCTTGAGCTTGTCGTAGTCTCATAAGAGTTACACTTTCATAGTCTCTGTCTGATACAGTACTGTTAGTTGATATGACTGGTGATGACATTGTTTCTACAGAGAGACTTGGTGTACTCTGAGTAGAGCTACACTGTGTTGGGTCYTCAAGCCAAGAAATGTTGAGAGGATTATCTGTGTTACCAAACTCATTCATTAGAGCCATTTTCTGATAAAAAGAAAACAAATTAAATTCTTAATCTAACAATMAAGAAAAATCATGGAAAATTGTACATACTGCATTTTTTACGCTTGTAAACTCTATGATAGCACTTCCCAWCTTTTTACTGGATACTATAACATGAGTGACTTCACCATACTGAAACACAAAGATATCAGAAATACATGTCATTACTGCATTACTAATAGTATTTTGAAATTCMCACAGTGAATTTACCTTTTGAAATAATTTAGTTAAGAATTCTGTGTTATATCCTCCATTATTTTCATCATTCTTTTTAGATTTCCACTTGACCTTCAAGGAAAATAAAGATATATTATTATAAAAGTATCTTGTGTGATATTTTCCATACTTTTCCCAATGTCRTTTGTACCTTCAGTTTTGGAGTATGGTCATATTGTGGAAATTGCTCTGTCTTTTCTTTTGATTTCATTATTTCTTGCTGTTCTTTTAATAGTTGTGTCCCCTCCTCGCGTAGTCTTTCAATCTAAAAGACAGATTGATAGATTCAACTGGTTGGATGTCTTATTTAACCCTTTATGTTTATTTATTTGCAGAAGAAGCTAAGTTACATTGTACCTCTGCTCTCAACCTTTTCTCTGCTGTCTCTTTGCTTTCAGTTTCACTTCTGGCAGCACTTTCCTGTTGTTCCAAGTCTTAAGAATATGAATAACATTTTTATTTTAAATTTTTGTGTATATATTGTATGTATGTATGTATACATTTGCATACTTCTAAAATTCTCGAATAAATGAAGAAGAAGAAGAAACGATGGAAAATGGATGCCCTCATCAAAACAACTCCAGTTTAGGAATACAACAACAAGAAAAGCATGAGGAAAATAAATTTGCAATACAGACCTAACTTAAATTTCTTTCTCTTGGCATCAAGCGCTTGGTTTCTTARCCTTTGTCTTTCTTTGGCTTTCAGAGAAGCATCCAAAGCAGCTCTAGCTTTGGGATCAGTCAGGACTTCAAATGCTTTGGTCAGCTCATGAAACGTTGCAGCTGAAACAAGATATAAAAATCTTAAAAACCTTAGTTGATTATTTGRATCGATAGAAAGAGGTCATTATAAAACTCCACATTTTTAGGCAGACTCCATCAAACCTTTATTTTTAATCCCACTTCCGGTTTATTATATATTTGACAATTTACAACACAAATAATTGGAATTCATTAAAAAATAGAGAAAAKAACCTCTAGATATTAGGTACATGTGCAATAAGCGCCTTATAAATTTAACAGATTAAAATAAGCAAGAAAAAAAAAAGAAAAAACGAACCTGCTTTGGGATCATCTGGGTTCTTGTCGGGATGGCAAATAAGCGCTTTCTTGCGATAAGCTTTTGTTATCTGCAATAGGAAATAGCAGTGGTATCAAGAAACAGTCAATTTTTTATATTTATAGTTGATAATTGCAAACACCTACCTCTCTATCGCTGCTTTCTTGAGTAACCCCAAGAACTTCGTAAAAGTTCTTCTTGTCCGCCATCTTGAAACGATGCAATGCGCGCGCACAATCTGGGAAGTAGCACAGGAAGACCAGAAACTAAGGATATCTTTCGAAGTTTTAAAAATTTCTTAACTCATAAGTGATTTCAATATATGCATGAAAACTTTAAAATGAAGCAAATATACTAGAATTATGTGAAAATRCAAGTGCGTGTTTCGTGTTTGACATTTTTATTCAAGCCTTTCGTTTAGGTTGACCTTTGGGCTACCTGTGTTGGAACCGGCCGCAACGTCAACAAGAACAACATGGACGTGTTGCATGGAGAAGGAGTGCAGGCTATTTTATGGCTTCAGAAGACTTTGGGCTCTCATGCTGATATCTTATTATTTCTAAGTCGTGTTGGTGACCCAGGCWCTATTCTGCTGTATTTTCCTATCACATTATATGCGAACAAAGCCTTGGGAGTGATGGTGTTGTGGGTCGCTGTGATGGCTGAATGGACGAACCTTGTGCTAAAATGGTAAGAGATCCTGCTTTTCTTAATAAATTTACGACCACTTAAAGTATAATCATCTAGCATTGACTGTACCAATTACATATTAAATAAAATATTAATAAAATGAAAGATATATTCATGGTTAATATTTTATAATCAAATAAATCCAATTAATTTTTCTGTTTTCTTGGTGTCAGGTTCCTCAGAGGAGAGCGTCCATACTGGTGGATTCATGAAACTGAGTCATATAAAAACTTGGTGYTAACTCAATATCCCCTGACATGTGAGACAGGACCCGGTAACAATTTACCTTAATTATCATTACAGTGAGGCTGAAGAGTATTTATTAATGAGTATCCTAACATCATTTTTTACTTTTTATTTTCAGGATCACCATCTGGTCATGCAATGGTTTCAACAGCAGTTTTTTTCACAATATTGTTGTCCATTATTATACAAATTAAGAAACATCTTCACTCATATCCAATTCTTTGTAGACTGGTCTGCTGTGCATTGTGGATATGTTTTATTACTTTTATCTCACTAGTTTCATTATCAAGAGTTTTYATCGCMACACATTTTCCTCATCAAGTCATTGGAGGAGCTTTAGGAGGAATTGCTATCTCTTACGCAGCTCAAAAATATACCAATACTTTTATGAAAATGACCCTAGAGAGTTGTATGATCATTTCTTTCATGCTTATTGTATCAACTCTTATAATTTATACAATTCTTTCTCGTGCAGTATTTGACCCTTCAGAATCTGTTCAGAAGGCCCAAAAATGGTGTGCAAATCCAGCCTACATTCATATTGAAACACRACCATTCTTTGCTCTTGTTAGAGATTCAGGTGCRGCTCTTGGTATCGGTYTAGGACGTTGGCTTTGTAAAACAAAYGGATTAGAWAGTAGCAAAGTAAAGGGTTTTCTTGAAATAGGTGCAGAGATTTTATTGTCTTTGCTATTGATTTTCCCTTTGAAGGCCTTCAAACTGTCTTTTACAAGTGAWSTGATGTCTTATGTTTTTGGTTATTTCAAGAGTGCTTTGATTGTTGTGTTGGTGTTCTTTTTTGTGCCTGCCATTGTCAATTTTTTTGCAGGAATTTTTAAAAGAACTAAAGACAAAAGTGTTTARTATAATAATTGWATATTGAARTAAAACAGTAAAAATTGATACAAGACTGTGGTTAATGATTCCAACTACTGATRCTATGGAGAAATAATATAATGATAAACAGATGACAAAAAGGAAGTAATAAAGAATGGAGAAAGGGAATTTTCCATGTTTCTGTTTTTTCTTGATTGTAACTTTTAAAAGTAGATTGAAGTTCCAAATTATACAAAAACCAAAATAAAAAATCTTAAAGATTTTTTATTTTGGTTGTTGGGTTCCCTGTGTAGCATTCTCCTGTTGAAACACGTCTCGTCTTTGACTTTCTCTGACTAGACATGGTTCACGTCGACAAATGTCATTATGGCACCACCAAAGACGGCCACAAGGTCGAAAAGTACACTCTAAAGAAYGATCATGGTACAGAGGTGGATGTCATTACGTTTGGGGCCATTGTTGTAGCAATAAAATGTCCCGATCGGTAAGTTTGTAGAGAGCGATTTCTGACTGGCACCCGATCAACAGTCAAAGGACAAGAAACGGCACGGTTACCTCTCGAAAATGCAGTGATGTTCATGTGAAATTGGCTCTAACAGGCGCATAAATCATTGCCAGGAAGGAATATTTTAGTCTTATATGACCAAGATCGACATTTGTCTTTACTTGCACAATATTTGGATTTTCTCTTTTATTATGATTTTTCTCTAATATCATTATTGATGCATTTGCAGCGATGGGAAAATTGATGACATTGTTCTTGGATATGACAATCTTGAAGGTACACATTATTTCATTAGTACAGGGGTGCACACAAAATATTTTGGGGGCTCTTCCACCACCACCCCTCCCCCCCATATTTGTCTATATTTGTGACATCATCACTATTAGTCTGTKATTGTGCCCCCCAAAGTAAATTTCGGCTCTTCCTCCCTTGTAATATTGATATATTACCATTCAGTCTATTGATATTGCCATGTATTCATCAATTCAGGTTATCTGGAAAATCCTAACCATTTTGGGTCAACTGTTGGCCGTTTTGCAAACAGAATTGCAAATGCACGGTTTACTCTTGACAACAAGGAGTACAAGTTGTCTTGCAATGATCCCCCAAATCTTTTACATGGTGGCTTCCTTGGGTTTGATAAGGTTAGTATGGTATACTTTTATAGCATCAGGGGCGGATCCAGCTGGTTGGTGCAGGGGGTGCGCACCCCCTCCTGAGATCTATTTCTTTCAATACTTTCCTTATTTTGTATCTTTATGGTAATGATTTTTGTGGTTTGCACCCCTTCCTGAGAGCCCTGCACCYCTCCATGARGAAAATCCTGKAACCGMCCCTGAGCATATAAACMTTTTTTWWATTTATATTAAAGGTTATAAAGTTATAACAGGAAACATCATTATATATTATCATTGCATTGATTATTATGATCCTATATTCATCAATTACAGAAACTATGGGAAGCCACCATGGGAGATGATCATGTGACCTTTAGCTACACTAGCGGTGATGATGAAGAAGGGTTCCCTGGTGAACTTCATGTCCTTCTTACATACACCTTGACAGAAGATAATGAATTAAGACTCAGTTACAGAGCTAACACTACCAAACCAACTCCTGTCAATTTGACAAATCATTCTTATTTCAACTTGGCAGGTCAGGTAATTAACATAATACCACAATACATTTTTGTGATTATTGAAGAGTGAGTTTAGTGGGTGACAGACACAGGTAAATTACAGATTGACAGAGACCTAAAAATCAAGTCGTGGAATTGCATAGGGTTGTAATTGCAGTCATATTTGACCAGATTTTGTATGACAAAAATTGTGAACGTGTATCTGTCCTCTGATGACGAGATTATGACTGACTAATAAAACACTATGATACGCTATTAATACGGAAACACACAGGTCTTCCGGTTAATAATTATGATTATAAAGGTAATTATACAGCAATTGCAGTCATATTTGACCAGATTTCATGACTGTAAAACAATACCAATCATAGGCTGGTCATGCAGCCATGTCTTGTATTAATTAATCTTAATTGAGCACATTAATTGAGAAAAGTTCACAGCTACAGTTCAGCATGATGCAATATGAAAGTTTCCAGGTTTTTGCATCTCATGTGACTTAAATTAAAATGTTTTTAAATAGAGAATGTTGTTTATTGTAGGTAACCGATGATGTGTTGGATCACATTCTTTGGGTGGATGCAGACACATATTTACCAGTTAATGAAGTACTCATACCAACAGGTTATTCTTATTTTAGAATTATTAYTAAGGTGACTCAACAATTTGTCTCTATGATTGCATTGTGCAAACAGCTGCTTGAGTTATGATTTYATTGCATCATTATATACTATGTACCTCCTCTGAACTCACATCTAGTATAAATAAAGATGAAATAAATAACAAATTCCTTGATGCAGGAGAGAAGAGAGAGGTATCAGGAGAACCARATGGTGCATTTGACTTCAGAACTGCCAAACCAATTGGTAGAGATATCAATAAARTCACTCCACCMGGCTATGACCATAATCTATGTTTGTCAAATGGTTATGGTCTTAAAGCAAGGTATAAACTATGGSTACTTTATTTTCAAGGATCTCATTTGTCAGTCATCAATCATTATATCAATCAATATCCATCAAATGGTCATTCAACCTGTCAATCAATCAAGTTTATTGTCTAAAAATAAGAAATGATACCTTTTGGCTCATTTGTCAGGAGCTCCTAAAGAGAATGCTGCCATTGTAAGCTTTATAAAAAAAATTACATTWATTTTGCAACCTTTATTGTAGGTTAACTCATCCTAAGAGTGGTCGTGTCCTTGAGGTGTATTCTGACCAACCAGGGGTGCAGTTATACACTGGTAATTTTCTTGATAGCATTGGTAAAGGCGGCTTGCACTACAAGAAATACGGAGCTGTTTGTCTGGAGACTGAACACTTCCCTAATGCTATTAATGAGGTAATATCTTGTAATGATACAAAACAATGCTGACTTGAAATCAGGAAATCACTTCATATCACTCAACCAAACAAAATCAGTAGCACTGAAATCTGTTGAAAATGCTTTTTAAGTTTGCAAACAATCTCATGAAAGAGCCTGCAAGCATAACATTACATTAATTTTGTTATATTTCAGCCATCATTTCCTAATTGTGTTGTTCWCCCTGGCAAAGAGTACARACAAGAAAGTGCGTTGAAATTCTCAACGCAGTCTTTAAGTTTGTGGAATAAYTGTATAATTGATTAAATGCCATCATGTGCACTCAGATTGTAGAGACAAAAGAAATAATTAATGTCTCATTTRATGAGACTAGATGAATAAAAAAAACATTTTTAACAATAAAGACAATAGTTGCAGCCATAGCATGTGCTTCAGTATAGGAAGTAACAGGGAATAATATGTAATACCTATTGTCTTTGACAATGTTTTATGTTAATTTGCTTCAGTACTTGAATAACTGTTAGTCAATGACAACCCACACAGACAATATAATGTCATGAATAAACAACACTGATGCTTTCATGAGAGGACGTCGGTGATTGATAATGTCGAATGATGACGTTTCTTAGTCAGGGATTTCATATGATGAAATCATCACAATCTATAGCGCTGTTGAAGGAYGGCACTAAATAACAGTCGTCCAACTCGTTGATCCCTGTGAAGACAACATAGGGCTTCTCTTGTGTCATTAACGTCTCAAGTATTTCTATGACATCACTAAATGTTGGCCTATCATTTGCATGCTCTTTCCAACATTCTTTCATTAGATGGTGTCTGAATGACAATAGCCGTCTTTTAGTAAAAGTATCGCTGATAGACTCTAAAAGGTGTTTTTACTTACACTTCATCGGGACAAAGGTCAGGTTTTTCCATTCGGTATCCCCTTCTTAAAGCCTGCGCTAGTTGTATGTTGGTAAGGGTAGGATATGGTACTCCACCTGTTGACAGTAAGGACTCGCTGGTTAATCACGGGGCCATAACCAGAATTTCTACCGGGGGGTCTGATAAAACCGGACCATTATTGGCCTTTTTTTATTAGTAGTTGTCAACTTTTCAGTATATTAAGTTGGAGTCGGGTTTTCAAATCCTATGAAATACGTTTTAACGTATTATTTGTTAAAACACAACAGCGTATTACAAGCTTATAACACTTATTACCATTTTTGATTATCTTTATTATTTGTGATTACACGTTATCACTAACACCTTATACAAAGTCCTTCATGGATTCAGTTTGAATCCAGTTCGTTTGGAAAAACAAATCCAGCTGATTTGTGGATGAATTCGACAAAATGTCGTGTTTTTGCATTAAATTGATTTAAAATCTAAAACAAAGATTCATGTAAATTCTTTAAAAAACAAAGATAGATAAGCAGATCTTCAGCTCCTCGGGGGGGTGCACGTGTACCCCACGGGCCTGATTCAACTATACAATTCAACCAAATGCACACAAAATTATGAGCTAGACTCTCCCTTTTTTTGCAAGTTGCATACTTTGGATAAAGCAATGGTGGGGACGAGATTTCCAGGGGGCGAAATGTAATACAGGACACACCTCGATGCATTTTGCCGACGTCTCAAAACTTTCAAAACTCAAGAGGAAYCACACGAGCACAGCAAGGCAGCCATTCAGGATTAGTGTTGTATTTCTATAAATGGAGCTTTGTAATCTTAGGCTACTTACCCAAAGTATAAATCTCCCAAAGTACCACGGCATATGACCATCTTCGAGAAAAAAAATACGTCAGAAACAAGGACATAAAAGCAGTGCAACATTTGAAAACTTTAACCTATTTTAAAATTTGTATCATGGGATAATCAGTTATTTTATTTTACTTACACATCAGTCTTGGAGGTGAAAATTTGGTCGTAAATTGCTTCAGGTGACATCCACTTCAAAGGAAGCTTACGACGTCCCTGGGCCTGGTACACTTGATCCTCGTAAGTCACGTGACGAGACAGACCAAAATCTGCCACTTTGACGATGTCTTCAGCAACGAGAATGTTACGAGCAGCGAGGTCACGGTGAACGATGCCTTTTGACGACAAGTATTCCTAATACACAATGCAAAACGTTTTTAACTAATGAACTACATTCTTACTTCTTACTTAGTCAAGTTGGTATCCCCTTCTTACCATTCCTCGTGCAATTTGCCACGAAAAAGACATCAACTCGTCCAACAAACTTTCTACACTTTGACACTCATCGTTTTCATTTCCGCACGCTTTTTTGCGCTTGTCTCTGAGTAAGTTGAGCAAATCTCCGTGTGCTGCAAACTCCACAACTAGAAAAACTTGCTCCTCTTTAGTGCAACAAGCAACCATACTGATGATGTTTCTATGGTAACCAACGTTCTTCATGAACTCGATTTCACGAAGGAAATCTTGTTGTTCGTCTGAAGAAGCGCCATCTGTAATAAACTCGTAATGTCAGTCAAAGTTAACATCACATTAGTTAACATGCATATCTATGAGTCGTGCATTTTTCCTAATCTCGGCTTTGCCTCGGTCTGACTAAAGCAAATTGTGCAGTCGACTTTGGAAATCGATGTTGAAACACTACATAATCTTACCATGCAACATTTTCACTGCCACAGCGACATTGTTTGTTCTCATTGTTTGCTGTTTGTTCTCTGTTTGACTGGTAGGTTTATATATGACATTACTGTCCATGTTTCCTTTCCATACTTTGCCAAACGCTCCATGACCGAGCTCCTGCACTAACTCTACTCGACTGAGCGATACCTCCCAGGGATCCCTCTCATTTAGAGACATGTCAGAGAGTCTATTGAGAGTAGTAAAAAGATATAGAAAAATGTTGAAATTGTGTGCAATACTTGAAAGGACCATACGGCTACTGTTATAGTAGATGCACTACCTTTTTCGTCTCCTTGAGATTATTCTGTAAGCAATTGAAGCRATGGCAGCCATAACAACTACTGCTAAACCCAATCCCACCCCGATAAACGTGTGGGTGGACGACCGGGTTTTCTCAGCTCTGCTGTTGGTCTTGTTGGCTATGGTTGTCGTGGAGACTGTTGCCATGACATTTGTTGTATTAACGTAAACTTCTTTTGTTGGCATAACTTGAAAAAAAGGCAATAAACCGCATTAAACCATAATATCACGACACATTAAGTGAGAATCTAAGTGAGGTACCGTCACTGCATGATGTCTGTTGAGTTAACCTGCAATGCAATGGTCTATTGATTGATGAACTGATGGATGACTGGAGTGAGTGCGTGAGCAAGTGGGTGGGTAGGCGGCTTATTTGATTTACTGATAGATTGATGTACAATACTTACTACTTATGGCATTTATACTGCGAAACGTCGCCTGGAAATCAATCTTCGATGCTTCCTGGTCGATAACAAGCTGAATAAGGACATGATTACTCTTTGATGACGCATGAGCAGTTCCTAGTTTACCGCAGTCTTGTAGAAGGACAGGACTATGGATGTTAGGGCCATCAAATATCACCACGCGACCTTTAGTACAATTGTCAACCAATAACAATGTATTCAATTGGACGGTAATAGACAAATTCACCCTTGAACCATGTGGGACCCTTATGTTCCAAAGGCAACTAGTGCGCATGTTCGGTGTACCAGTTGGAGTCATAGGCCTGCTGGATGCTTTAAAATAGCCACTTTTCGTTGCATATAGGGAGGTCATCGGGAGAGGATTTGTAATGTCTAAAGCGAAAGASAAAAAAWAWTGATTCTCTTTTTTTATGATTGACGGTCGATTTACGGTTTTAGCAATATTATTTTACCTTTTGAGTAAGCTTCAACGGATGCATTTATGCCACTAAAACTGTAATATTGATTACTTATAAACTGGACCCGCATATAACGACYAGTCGATTTAATGGGGCAATGCTTTGCGTACCCACATAGCTTTGCGATAACAGRACTATTTGAATCAGCACCATCTCTTATCATCAAACGATCGAAGGAAGTACACGATGCCGAACTTTCCAAGTTAAAGTCCACAAATTGTAAAACGATCACGTGGTTTTCGGGAGCGATCATTAGCCATATACACTYTTGGTTGGGAGGATATAAGCTGGGATATTGTGGAGTTGTAAAGTACTTTGGATGACCAACCGCGACAGACATGTTGACTRCAGATAATGGGCAACCTAGTTTAACCAAAAAAAATCCCATGTTTTTAGATTTCTTTAATCGGAAGTCTTGGGGTCTRTTAGAAGATTAGCCAATCAGATTAGAAAAACAAGCACTGATCCGTACAGTAATCTCAAGCCATTTAATCCGGAATAATAATTGTATATAATATATTATTTTTTTGTAATTGTCCGTTATCCAGCTTTATGGCTGCAAAGGATTTAATAAAGCTATCTATCTATCTAAAATAAACGGGACCGTTTGAAATGTTAAGAATTAGACTTGACCATAAGTACATAACCAGAATTCTGGTTATGTACTTTTGACTTGACATAGTTACATACGAATGTTCTCCAAAGAGATAAAAAAAATCGTTGATCAATTCTTTTTGTGCTGCTTTTCACATGAGAAGTTCGACGTTTCGATTTTATCAAGCATGAAATAAGCTAARTGTACGTACCTATTCTGGTATTAGGCACAGCATAAAAATCAACATCAAAGCCTTTAGACTGAGTCTCGTCTGAATCAAATATCAACAAAACTCGGCGATTACTTGAGTAAAAATCAAATGGTTGCCATCTACCACATCTTTCAATAAGGATTGGACTAGAAGCAACACCACCATCAAATACCCTTAAGCCTGCCCTGCAGCCATATGGAAGCTGTAACGCCTGTGTAATCTCAAGGTGTTTGAGCACAATATGTACCACATGGTCCTGTGGTACGACGATTGTCCAGCCACATCGATGGTTCTTTGGGTACTTGTCAGGGTAATTAGGGGACTGGATGGTACCGTTACTACTCGTGATTACTGTCCCATATGGAGGACAATCTGAAACCAAAGTATAAGTTTAAGTGCAAGCCATACACACACACAAATTTAAAGGACAATCTGAAAGGTGTAAGTTTAAGTGCAAGATGCTCAGTTGAACTTGTTATTACTMTGGTGGACTAACGTACGGCTAGCTCAACAGAAAAACACAAATTGATACAGCTGAACAGATTCTCCTTCCGCGCTGCTGATTATATGATGGTCTCCTCCGTTCACACTACTCATCGATGTTGGTATGTACAGTCAATCTTATTCAGTTGTAAAGACATTCAGGCAACAGTAAAGTCATTTGCATAAAAATGTTTTTAAAATTTCCGGGAAGTGAGTTAATGAAATTTCAACAATATATGACTTTTTGTTGTCTTTCTATTTTTTCAACTTAAAAAGGTTATGGGATTAACTGTCATAAACATTTCAATAATCACTAGAAGTTGTGTTTTGAATGAGAAATGTTCAATGGTTGTAGTTAAAGCTGAGGGTTAATTAATGTTTCATAATCATCGATTATTTCATTCGCGTCGTGTGGTGAAGTCCTTGATAATGTGATCTTGGACATCTTGAAACAATCAAAATGTTTCTAAAAGCAAAAAAAAGTTTCCATTGATATTGYATTTCTTGTTACCTTTGTAAACCTTCATGTTTTGCTCTGTTAAGTGGAGTAAGATAGAAAACACTTGWAGCAGCAGAAGAAATGGCATCGTCCTGGAACAGTACATCGGAACAGACTGCTTGGCTTAGCTGAAAGCTCTTTGATAYGATGACTAATACTGGGCAAAGATGCACACTGCTAAAACGCTAAGAATCACTCATCATTTGTACATCCTTTTCCCATTAGCATAATAATCCACCTCGTTTGCAGCTGAACAGGAATTGAAGTAACAAGTAAAATAAACATGCCACTTATTGTCTTTGATCATGAACCGGTAGAATTTTAGTTTAGAATCTTTACATAGAATTCCYTCTATCCCTTTGATCCTTGGAAACCCGATCCATCAATCAACATGAATGGGGTTATACTATTGCCTGGTATGGTTTCTCCTTAATAACTTTAGCTAAAATGAAAACACAAACTTAATAAATATGCTGATTGAGATTAGTCAAATGAAGATGATCCTCAGAATGAGAACGTGATCAAACTGAAAACGAAATGCAAGCCTGTTTTGTTTACTCCTCATCTTCATAACTAATTAGAACCACTATATTTGAATTGTCAGTGAAGAAACATTAATGTACAGACAGATTGAGAAAAAGGCAAAMGCGAAACTGATAACATATAATAGTGGATAGGTGTAAAAAGGCGTCCTATTCTATAACTGTTTGACTTTATGAATAATGAAGTAAAATGAGAGAATTCACAAGCAAAAAACTAACTTTTCAATTTCGTTTTTGCTTTTAGCTGAGTACAGCTGGAAAACACAGTCAATGAAATATTCCAGTCAGCTGTCGATTCATACTCTCATGATGATCGATAAAACAAGCAACCCGTGGTTCTCACTAGTGGCAGCAAATGAAATATCAATGAACCGTTGAAAAATCCCTAAGTTATTTCGAAAATCGACGCAAACTAAGACTGTTATAGTTTCATATTTATCTGCAAATGTTTTTTCTTGGAAAAATATTATCAGAAACAGTTGACAATAATACAAAATATATATTTTCAATTAATATTGAATTTTTCTACAATATTTAATCTGCCTCCCACAATACAAAAGACAGCATGTTTTAGACTTGTGAAGGTAGTCTCTTTAGTTTGTTGACATAGTTATCCTGTGAATGTCATTCTTGTTATCCTATCATACAATACTGTGATGGATGGAAAGTCAGTTTTAAATAAGTGTCACTGAACGACACTTTCATTCACTCTGTCCTCTTCGTTTTTGACGAAATCACCCATAATAGCCTACGTCTACTAGTATTCAACGTTTTTACTTTAATATGAACTCGGTATAATTTCATACTTTATTTTTAAAAAAGGTTGYATATAGATTGCTCATATCTTTCTCGCCAGGAGTTATTTTACGCATGTGGAGAAAGTRGACTCAAAGACGCTTGAATGTCTATTGAAGGACGTAGACTTGTTAATTAGGTCAAGAATTATGGCTGATTTCGGCAAAAACGAAGAGGACAGAGTTAGGTTGGAAGGGATGTGTAATAACTTACACTACCCTATAAGTTTTATGCAAGTATGTATATTTGAAATAGCTTCAGAGAAATAGTCCTCGCGAACTAATTACTAAAACGTGTGCCATTAAATCATTTAACTAGCGTCAGCTTTATAACTAATAACCSAGCTATACATAATTAATATGCCTATATATCTATCTACTGCCCGTTTGGCCTAGTGGCATATAGGGCAGAAACAAAATCCTCTTTCCAAATTAATCCATATGTATCCCAATATCTGTCATTTCTGATAATGACGTTCTGTGCCAGGTAGTTTTATGGCCTCCCCTTTTTTCCTTCTGGAGTCCAATGTAGAGCTATTATGACATTTTCGCCTTCTTGKCCCTTCTAAGGACTTGCCCCAGCTGCCTAAGATATAGCTTTAATCAATAAACCAGCATAACTTCAAAAAGAGCAAGCGTTTGTCGATACGCCCTAATAGCTTATAAAACCAATTCTCGGTATAATCTAAAAGAACAGCCATGATATAAGTATCTTTATRATATATAGGTCTGTTGTTGCGTGCGGCTTTTCTCCAACGGAACCGAATGCTTCATTACTGGCGATATAAACCATGAAAATCAATTTTCGCAACAGGATCCGAGTCGTTCCTTGAGTGACATTATCTAGATTCATATTCAATGCTATTGATATATTCCTGATTAAAACCAAATTTATTTATCATTCTACCAACTGTGCCGGTATAGTATGTCATTTTATAAACATGTGTTTAACACCTTCCATCTTCTACCAGTGAAAGCTTTTAAATGGGTCCACCCYTAACTGAATCCCCTACTATTTATCGATYTTTACAGATAAATTTTTGATCAGATCTCATCAGATGAAGATATGAATGACCGTTTTCTTCTCGCTTTTGGAGTCACAACATTTACTCTGCTATTATTTATGGATGTAGCTTCTGTTGTACAAGGTATCTGAATAAACCGAGATGAATTTAAAGCTGGATCAAAAAATGATGAATATTTTTATATCATTAATCACCTATGAATGCACACTTCATTGCCGTTATATCATTAATCACCTATGAATGCACACTTCATTGCCGTTATATCATTAATCACCTATGAATGCACATTTCATTGCCGTTCATGGTTGGTCAGTTCAATTTTTATAAATCAGAAGATAATCGTTATCACTTATAAACAACTTATACTCAAATCCCCTTTCTTTGCAGCATGTTCGTCTACATTTCCTATTACTGTGACRACGGATAAAGAGGACATCACAAGTCCYAACTACCCATCGTTTTACCCAAACAATAAAGAATGCAGGTGGCTCATTAGCGCTCCTCTCGATAAGTTARTCCAATTCAAATTGAAAGTATATGACTTGGCTCAACCAGCAGACTACATAGAAGTRAGAGATGGTRTCAATGAAAGTGCTGTGGTGTTAAAGAATTTCACCGTCAAACGAAAGTTTAGTTTTATACGTTTCAAGTGGAGGACATCGAGTGGGCGTTTCTTGTGGATGAAGTTCAAGTCTGACGGAGTACGTAGTTCTAAAGGTTTTAAGATGGACATTAGATTTGTAAACAAACCAAAAGGTAAAATGCATTTCTGCGAAGTGTTTTAGCCAAAACATTAATACTCACTCGCTTAACTTTGTATTCTCATTTGCCAGCTTGTTTGCCTTYATCACCTGAAGTAAGAACGACAAAGAAACAARAATTAATGGTAGAATATTATGGTAGAGCTTTTTATCCTAATAACCAGGAATGCAAGTGGCTGTTTAAATCATCCCAGCCTGATAAACTAATCAAAGTTGAAGTAAGACTATTCCAAGATAGTTTGATGCAAGGGGATTACATAGAATTTAGAGACGGAATGGATGAAAATGCTACTTTATTAAAAACGCTCACAATGAAAACAGATCGTCGYCAACTATTTATACTTATTGCGTCGAGTGGCCGCTTCYTATGGGTGCAGTTCAAGTCTGATGAAGAATTCACTGGTGCGGGATTCCAACTTTTGTACAGTTCGGGCAATATACCACGAGGTATTGAAAGATATTTGGCATTCAGATAATGAAAAAAAAAAAAAACACTAGTATTTTTTGATGTTTTGAAATTTCATAAATTTCCAGTGGATGTTACYGCTGAAGCGATTGCAGTCATGTGATGGACTTTTAAGTCACTGGATAACACTATGGCATTATTATTATCATTGATAATCTATAATTTGCTTTTTAACAGCATGCTCACCATCTGAAAACGTCACGACGGGCAAGTATGGTAGGATGATTACCAATCCATTTATTCATCCTTACAATAAACACATCAAATGTACCTGGCTGGTGTCTACTAATCAYGATAAGCTCATCGTTTTAAAGCTCAGAAAGTTCGACTTCTCTGRACCAGGACACTATATAGAGATACTAGATGGAATGGATAAAAATGCTSCATTACTTCACAACTTCACGAGTAAACCTGACTTTTATAATCAAACATGGCGATCCAGTGGACCTTTCTTAACGATAAACTTCGTATCGAATGGCTTTCTTCATGAAGATTTTACTATCTATGTTGAACATTTAGACAAACCGATTGGTAGGTAGTACATACGATCTCTTCTTCCCTCTTCGACTYTGGAAATCTTTGGATGCATACGAAATTTTTAATGTCTCAGTGAAAATCTTATTATTATAACCTCACAGCCTTCTTGTCATAATTCCAACTGCACTGACACATCTCTCCTAAAACAGAATGAAAAACCAAACTTTACAAACTCCATTTTTGATAAAATACAGTATTACATCTTCATGATATTAAGTTAAATACTTTTGCAGCATGCATAGACCAAGAAGGTATAGCAGTGGACGAAAACGACATTACAAGTCCTTTCTACCCATCATTTTACCCGAACAACCAACAATGTACGTGGATTATCACGGCAAACAAACCTGATCACGTGGTCGCATTCAGAATGAAACATCTGGACTTGGTTCAACAAGGGGACTATGTCGAGGTGCGAGATGGAATCGATGAAAATGCTGTCTTGTTACAGATTTTCACAAGTAAATCGAATCTTTCTGACGAGTTGAGGACATCAAGTGGACGGTTTATGCGCGTCAAGTTTAAGTCTGATCACCAACACACTGCCAAAGGGTTTAGGATGTTTATCCAATTTATCAACAAAACGTTTGGTAAGTTTGTTTTTGCATTATATGTGATTTGAAGGAAAAGAATAAAATACCAAAAAGAACAAGAATTTTTT